GTCATCCCAATTAATTGGATTGTTCCATTTATGCTGCTACTGCCTCCAATTAAATGCAAGGGAGCGCAAGTGACAGGCACGAGTAAAATGGGTGTGCAGAAAACCATATTCTAATGCAAAAGCTGTGATGAGAAAATGGAATCTACACACCTGATGGGAATATTAATGCAAAACCTTGACCTATAATTTTTCTTCCTTCASTCTGAGAGTGCCAGAAACAATTGCAGCTCATTAAAATGGATCATGTCCTGACAGTCGTGCATAATGTCCAAGTCCCACAAGCCCCATGGTCTAAATGTTTGCCTTGCTGGTGAAGCTATCAAGGTAAATGTTTAGACCATGGGACTTGTGGGATGTGGACATTATCCTAGAGCTGCATGGTCCTGYACAACTAGAAACAGGAAACTGCACCAAACCATGAAGACCCTTTCTCTATTTTATACTCAGTATTATCACAAAAAGAATGAAAGGAAAAAGACAAACCCAAGAGTGCCAGTGTGGGTTGGATTTTGGGACTTCATGTGGCCCATCCCCCTGTTCAAAGCAGGACAAACTTCAAAGTTTAATTCCCTTTGAAAGTTAGCTCAGGTGGCTCAGTGTTGAGCACTTTCAAGGATGGAGATTTGACAGCCTCTCTGGGCAGTCTGTTCCAATGCTGCCTTGTCAGGGCACAATCTGGAAGCCATTCACCACATCACAACAACATCTGGYTCTACTTTCTTAACTGCTTTTTTGATGCAAAGTGTGTGTTGGCACGTGGGATGAAGTATCAGTAGGGAAGGTGATAGCATCATGCAAAGACAATTCTTTTGAAACGAAAATAGATCAGAAAACAGTCCCTCACAAGATGGGGTGAGAAGGAAGGTACTGCAGTGTTTTATTGTGAGTCTGGTGCCATTTTTCTGTCAGGCACTGCCAGACCAGTTCTTGAAGATGGAATAACCAAAATGTCCAGTTTGCACTTGGTATTTAGCACAGCCTTGAGATGTCAGTGCTGTGGTTAGYTGTGGCATAGCAACAAACATAAGTGCATCTCTCTTTCTCCACTGAGCAGTGAGGTCTGTATCCCCTTCAGAGGCATCTCTCCCTCCCTTGGCTCCTGATGGAGGGAGCCAAAGGCAACAAGCTTCCTAGCCCTGACACCTCTGATATGTGTGAAGATGGAGGGGTTGAATGCAGGCCTAAAATATTTTACATTTTCACRGTAGTTTCACAGCCCTGGCATTATCAAACGATCTTTCAAAGTACTTGGAAGCAGTACTTTGAGATGGATTTTAGCTTTTTTGTGTCTGTGTACTTGCAAACTGTCTCTGCCTACACATCTTGCAGGGACTGTTTCTGTTTGGAGATGCACACRGAAAATCAGTGCTCGTGTGGATGCTCCGTCTGCTCCATTTCCCCCCTGAAGTTTGGACGCTGTTCAAAGCAGGTCCCCATCCCTGGGTGGTTAARATCAGACTTGCCCTATGTGCTGCACTCCACTGACCAGCCTAGTTAGGAACTCGAGGCTAGGAAACACAAGACAATTTTAAAATSTGAACAAAAGTAGGAGATTAAGGAAACCAGCTGGAAACCTCTATTTTGCTGATTTTGAAAGCAAAATGTGGGTCACAGATGTGCTTCCACAGACAGAAACTGGCTGGAGAAGAAAAAGACATCAGCAATGCCCAGACTCTTTGATGATCAGAGGTAGATTTAGCTCCTAGGCATAGAGAGAAGAAAGGAAGAGGAGACGAAGTAGGAATAAAAACATAATCAAGATATTAGGAATGTGGAACGCAACCCACCCGTAAATTTGCCTTAGGGAACTACGAAAAAATGCAGTAACAAAGATGAAACCAATTGCTATATCTTACTCTCTTCCCTCATCTTGCYTTCTTTATGCTTTTGCTTTTTGCAGTCCAAGACACAGGGGGTCCATTAAAGAACCTTTCCTCTTCCTCGATCATGTTTTTTTCTTTGCAAAAGTGCTGTTTTCTACTGCTCCTTTGCAGTAGCTGTGAAATCCTTGCTAAGGACAGGCTGACTTTAGAGGCTAAAAGAAACAAAGCTCTGCAGGAAGTCCATACCATTTGCATGTATCAGAGGCTAGCAAGCAATGGGCTCTGGCCCATCTTTGTTCGGAGGGAAGAGCTACCACTCACTTCTTGTTTAGTCTAACACAAAAGATTAAACTTATTTGCAGTGCAGTTGATGACAGACTAGCAAGAGCCACGCTGCTGACCCTTGCAGGCTGTTGATTAGCCTGTGACTTGGTCTCCCAGGGGCTGCAACAGAAGGCCTGTTGTTCCARCCATTTAAAAAAACTCAGGGTAAAGCACTGGAAGAGCAATTAAGGACAACAGCAGCACTGACTCAGAGAAGCCCAGGTGGTGGTTCCTTGGAAATARCCAAGCACTGGGGGATGTTCTGAAAAGCGTCCAGGGCATTTTTGGCAGGCAGTTTCTGGGGTGAAGGGAAGTGCCAGGAGCACTCCTGAAGGTCTCACCTGTGCTGGCCACAACACGACCTGGTCACTTGGTGCCTTCAAGGTTTGTGACGTGCTGAGCAGCCATGGAGCACAATCTCCAACTCCTGCAGGAAACTTCCCTCCTGCCAGCAAAACACCAGTCCCTACGGCTTAACACTGAGAAGCCTGAAATGAAATGCTAGTCCAGCTCACTGCCCGTCACTGTTTTTCAGACTTTGGGGAACTTAGAATTCAGTTCTTGTCTGGAATTTATTTTTCTCAGCCCTAATGAAAAYACATTTTGTAGTTGTTAGTGTTTTAAATTGAGTATCAGTGTCAATAAAGAGAAGCCTTTTCCCAGGGTGGGAAAAAAAATATAAAACTGTCTCAAATCTTTCACTCATGCAAAAGTAAACAACRCCAAAGCACTGAAGGATTACATAAAACGTATGTCTCTTTTCACTGGGAGTCCACTGGGCGTGAATAAGTGCCAACTGAGCTCTCAMTTGCACCACCATCTCCTGTGATGTTACAGTGCCCTGCCCTGTGACAGCATCTCTGCTCCTGCTGATGGAAGCACCAGAGGCTCCTGAACACCAGCAGGGCTGTAAATGAGAAGGACTTTGTCATCTTCAGCTTCCCCATCCAACCTAGCCCAGAGAAAAACAGTGTCCAGCCACAGCACAACTCACAGTGCAGCTACGTAGAGAGGCAGCACAGCCCTCCCCTGGCAAGGAGGGTCATCCACCCTCATCTGGATGCAAGAGATTTTGTCAGAGACACCAGAATTCATTGGCTGGGCTGCAACCCCACACTGAAATTGTGAATACTACAGCACTGAACCTCTTCAGCTGATGTCTAGAAACTGCTTGTGGTTTCAGAGCTCTTGCTGATGCATYGCTCAGCAGCTGTTCATATTGGGAGAGTTCTGCTCATTATTTTCCACTGCTATCTTGCATGGAAGGAAAATCAAAATACTTTCCTCAAGATAATTGGCCCTAAAACAATTGAAGAATTCTCCACGAGGTTGTAATGCAATTAGGATGGGCATTTTATATAATTTATATCTCTAAAGGTATATTTATGCTATCATACCCTTCTTTCATGAAAAAAAGAAAAGAGAAAAAGAAAAAGAAAAAAAAAGAAAAAAGAAAAAAAGAAAAAAGAAAAAAGAAAAAAAGAAGAAAGAAAAAAGCTGCTGGCAAGAGAAAGTTGATTTTGCTGTTATAGGCAATGAAATATAGATCAAACATGGACATCCACCAAGTACTGATTAAAAGGCAGCAGAATGCCAGGATCATCTCTGAGGTGTGATCGTGATTTGGTAGGATGCTGTGTCACCAACCACACATCTGCAGGTTTCCCATTCAGTTTTCCATCAATGCCAGGTGATGTGTCATCACTGCCTTCTGCTGCAGCCCTTCAGGAGCTGCACTCCCCCACTGCCCTGCCAGCCTGGATGGGAGCAGCTGGTGCAGCTGAGCAGCAGCCCCACCACACTGAACAAAACCAGCAGCCACACCACACCTGGGCTGGTGTTTGGACAGATATCCAGGAACACCCTAAGCAGAGATGCCAAGCAATCCAAACATGCAATAACAACTGCACAAATGCATGAAACAGCTGGTGAACTTGTTGATATGGGATGTGACTGTGAAAGGCAAAAGCATGGACGCAGCATTGCCCTGAATTGGGAAGCCTCCATTTCCCTGAATACCAAAAGGTCCAAGGGTATCAYGGGGAAACAAAGCTCTGTGCTTGCCTGTTCCTTATGTTTGTGTTTAACCACCTTTGGCTGACTGTTGCCCAAGACACAGTCCAGGCCCAGGAGACATTCTGCCTGGCTGCAACAGATGCTGTGATTGAGATTATGGGATGACAACCTTTAGCCTCCTGGCCTAGGTGGAAGCTAATGAGTTGGATCAATTATCATTATGAATGGGTCTGAACTGAAACTGGGGATACACTCAACATCTCTTCAGCAGCCATTTATGGGTAGATGTCCTCTCCTTAAGAACCAAAGCCATGGATCCAGACTAACACCACTGAATGACATCTGGATGTGGTCCCTRTGGTAGAGATGCCACCATGAGTAACACAATACCCCTGGAAAAGTAAAGATGTCCCTTACCCTTGGTTGTAACCCAGCTGACCTATCAGTACACCATACAACTACCAGAAAGCAAACCCAAGAGCTGCACTGCTGTACAAAGCAGGTGATCACACCCTTCTGCTCTCAATCAGACAAAGAAGCCATCAGCCTTGMCCACAGGTTGATCTGCCTACTTTCACTAGATGCATGTTTGCAAAAACCAACCTGGAACCACTTGGGAACAGTCTGGGAACCTGACCCCAGACTGGCCAAGAGGGGGACATGAATGTCCTGCCTGCTCCTTTGTGCCTTGCCATGGCCTGTGACACAACACACATCCCAGACTGTGAGCAGAGACATATTCACTTCCATTGATATGAGGTCATTCACTGCAGTTAAAACTTGAACAAAACCAAATGCAGCTTCTTAACATGAAAGGCTATGGTCAGGGATACTCACTATTGGGCTGAGTCATTRAGTTGATATTCCCGGGACCGGTTGAAGCATTCTTGGATCCCAGAGTCTGCCCAGAGCCTCATCATAGCTGACAGCAGCTCTGGAGAGAAAGGCTCTGTGTCCTCCATCCGACTTACGACATCGCAGACCATCTTGGCATCAGCCTGCAGAGGAAAGAAATGAGAGGTCACAGAGATGCTCATGGCAGAATTTGGAGCCAGAAATTTCAGAAATTTTCAGATTTCAGTTCACCGAACCATCGGGACTAAAGAGGCTGTGTTCCTCAGGATGGGGCTTTAGCATCCACACGGTGTGATCCAGCTGAAAAGGCAAAAGCAGGATGGAGGAAAGAAATCACAAGAAAAAAGGTTGTTTGYACAATGCACCTCACATCAACAAGTATTTCTACTCAGCAGACAAAGCAGTCTGCATTGCACATGTGTGGAGTTTCATAGGAACAGAAAGAAATTCACACATGTACAAGGATATTTAAAATTGTTAGCAACAACGCCTGCGCTAGCCAAGTGTGGAAYCTTGCTGAAGTGGGAGTTTTGTATCAGAAAGAACAGCAGAAAGACTCCAGAAACAATTTTTTCCAGATGCTGGTTTATTGCTTTTCCTAAATTCTTGTTTTTTGCTATGAGCCCCTTCTACGAGGGCTAGTTTATGTTAATGCAGGCCACCTTGGCTGGCTGTGGGCTCTGTGACTCAGAGGGAGAGGAATCTCCCATGGTTATGGAGCATGGTGGTGAGGGCAGGGCCAGCTGGCCATTTTCAGATGGAATYTCTTTTGGTCAGAAAAATGAGATTCACAGGGACAGCAACTTTTCCTGGAGAATAGTGCTTTGACACAATTTGGGTCCGGAAGATGTCTCAGATCTAGGATGGGAATGTCTAGACAGCCTYAGAATAGCTGAACTCAGCCCTACTGTAACAGTCAACAGTGCCTGATGCTTCACTCATTTGAGAATTCATGACCCCCCTGCTTGCTTTGCAAGAAGTGGATGTCCCACACCACCCACAGACTCCTGAAACCCTTGGGATATTGGTTAATCTGCAGAATTTTTCTTTCATCACTTTGAAAATCATTTCTATGAGCTGAAACAAACCCAATTCTTATTGCTATAATTAACTGGAAAAGAGGAGCTCTTGTTCTTTGTGTGTGTGCARCAAACTTGTGAAGACAATCTCCTGTTTTACTACCTTGTCCCTTGTCTGCTAGACCAAAYCCATTCCTGGCCAAATGCAGAYGGATGTCTTTGCTTTCCAGGGTGTTTGATCTAAACCAGCAAGTGCAGAGYAAAACCACAGATCTCAGAAGGGGARKGYAGGCTCTGCCCCTGCTTTGCTTGGTACAATTAGGAGTGCCATCCTTGAGGAGCACCACAATAACCTAATTGTATGGATGGGAATGACAAGTGTGTGACAGGATCTGCATGGTCAGGATCAAAACTCCTCTGTAGCTTCTTTGTTGAAAAGCGCAATTGTGGAAAAATTGCAGGGCGACAAACTGAAAGCACAGGAGACTGAAGCTGCTGGAGATTTCAGTGCTCAATGAAAGAGCCTCAAGTCCCCTGAACACCCAGCCTTTATGAGCTGAAGAAGCCTCAGTAATGTATGTATCAGTACTGTATCCCATAAAATTTAATGGGGTGGACTCTATGCTTTGAAGGCTTTATGAACATAAAATCTTTCTCACAGAGCACTTAACTTCATATTTTAGTGCCCAGAAATCCTGCCAGTCCTCTGTACAGATTCTGYTCATTTTGGAGAAACAGTATTGGTGACTCACACCTCAAAGCCAAGACAAACGAAGAGCCTTGAAGAGTTCAGTTAATTTCAAAAGCTTGTTTTCTGCCCCGGAGTGCTCTGTGAGCTGAGTGAATATTCATAAATCATCTGTATGGTTTGCCTGCCCTGCTGGAGCTGCAATTCTGCTCTTTTCACAGACTCTAAAAGACATAAAACCTGCTAATGGCTGCGGTCTGCCTTGGCCCCATTATTTGTGCATGGGTGATGCAGGAAAAGCATCCATCAGTAAKAAGGATGTCTTTCTATGTTATCCTGACTACTGGGGGTGGGGGTTGGTTATAGGTATAAGTCTCRGATTTGTCCACCTGTTTGTGATGGCAAAGCACATTTGAAGCTTTCCAGCTGTYATGGGCAGGGTCTGGGCTTCTTTTGAGTTTTGTGGATTTAAGTGCAGGCTGCTTTCTGCCAGACATCAAAGGGAATGGCACAGTTGTCATATTTTCTGTGCTGGGAAATAGCTGTGTCACCTTTTCAGCTACTGAGACTGTGGCAGTTCCCCACGAGTAAGACCCAGCACAGGAGGGGCTGAGCAGAAGGCAGAGATGAACAGCAGCGACCGGGCAGAATGGGAGTGAGCAGGCACAGACACCTCTGGCTGTGAATATCTGTTAGTCTGCTTGGGCCAGAAGGGAGGCTGAGCAYGCAGGGCAGGTGATTATTTTGGTACATGCTCCTCTGCAGTCAGTGGAAATCCCTTTTGGGGACAGAGGCTGCCCTCCCACAGCAYGGACACCTGCCTGCAGGGCAGACTGAGAGTCAGCAGGCTGGAACAGGGGAAGAGCTCCAAGGAAAGTTTATTGCTCCTGCTGAACGGTAATAAACATATTCCAGACTTAGTTTTATTTTTCAGTGAACTACTGAACTCTTGGTTTTACAGACCCAGAAAAAGCAGATGAAACGAGTACTTTTAAAAATACTCCTCCCCCCTGCCAAGACTGAAGTCCCCCTGTCAAGGAGCATGGGGCCATCCAGGAGTACAGRCATTTGTTAGATGATTTAACGAGCAATTAAGGATCCAAGAAGAGAAGATACCCCTTTCTATTCTCACTCTCCAGGCTGCATCTCAAGCTGGGAATGACATTAAAATCTCCAGCTCCCCCTGGGCCCAGCAGGTAGATTTTTAAATACTGCCTGATTGACTTTTCCCTGCTTGCCTCCCCTGGGTCTGCTGCTCCCGCTTTTCCCGAGGTGAGAGGAGCCGAGCCTCCCGCCACGCTCTGCCTCTGTACTGCAGCCAGCAATTAAATAAAGCAAAACAAAACAGGCCAACCAGCCCCCCCTCCCCTGCCTTGCAGTTCCCATCCGACAGGGCTGTCGTTAATGAACATCACGGTGGTATTTCAGCTACCTCGGCAGCTAAAAATAGGCAGTGCTTGGCCCCTGGGATTGCTGGAAGGAGCTACAAAATGGTGAGCGGTTCCTTCCATCACTGCTGCCTGTCTTTCCCAGCTGTTCTGTCTCCTGTCTCCTCGGAACAAGACATCTGGGAGGAGGGTAAGGRGTCAGCCTGATCTCCTTCATGCTGGTTCTTATCTGGCAGGAGSATCCTGGCCGATCACTGCAGCTTTCCCACGTCCTGCTGCCACTCCTCAGAGCCTTGCATTTTCCACAGCAGGCGAAACCCAAAGACCTGAGCTGATTGCCTTTGGGTTGTTCATTTTGGAGATTGGCATTTGTCACTTTGTGTCATTCCTGAATGCTGGTTCCATCCACCTACAGCGGGAGAATTGAAGCTGGCTGGGCATGGCCTGAGGAGACAGCTGAGCTTGGAGACCCTGGGAAAGTGAAATTACACACCCAGGCTTTACACATCAAGCCAAAAGGCCAAATAATCCTTTGCTGAAGAACAAACCTCTGCTCTGATTGGGGAATGGAGAGGGCTCTGTAAGGCCAGGGCAGGGTCTGAAATCCACAGGCAGATGTGAACAAGAAGCTTGTAAACACAGCGGGAAGTCAGYGTGTGTCATTCCTAACCCCGGGTTGTGAGCTACCCGTGCACCAGACTTTCGGTAAAAATCCAGCTCAAAAGGGGATCTGTTCTCTCCCTAACCTGGACATGACTGCAGTTATTTAATTGTCTCCCATATGTCACTGTCACCAAGCTCACAGCCTGTGAGGCAGCCTGCTCAGCATGCAAACTTGTGACTTCACTTGCAACAGCCACACCGCCCAATTAATGTGTTACCTGGCTGGAAGGGAGAGCAGCCCCTCCCACAGTCTGAAACCACCAGCACTCGTGTTTGTCTCTAAAAGCAATTTATTTTCCATCACACCGATACAGACCACCCCTAATTACTCATGCCTCGCCACCAGCCATGACTGGAGCCCTGGAAAGTACCAGTAAARCTGCTGCTGCCCTGGCTGTTGTGGAGTCATATTGGAGCAGGACTCCATCTCTAACTATCCCCATGTAAATCCTGGCTCTGATCCTTTCAAGGTGCCTTCTTTTTTTTTTCTTTTCTTTTTTCCTTTTATTTTTTCGTCCCAAAAGGAATATTTTCAGCCACCAGAGAGATGAGATGATGCACCACACTGTACTGTCCTTTCCTTTTGGTGAACTAAATCCCAGTAAATATAATTTTTCTTGCTGTTATTTACTCTGATTAATGATACTTGTCACTTAGCCTATCTCAAAAGTTAACCCATGGGGCAATTTCCTCTGGTGGTTGGTCGTGCTAGGAGCTGCTTCGCAGAACATTTCAGAAAATCCATGCAGTGGGAGAAAAGATAAGCCCTGCAATTTGGCTGGTGGTAYGAGGCAAATCATCGCAGTACTAGTCATCAGCAAGCAATCTGGTGAAAACAGTAGTGGCCCTCATGGGTCATGAACCTGAGGGTAATCAAACTGATGTCTGGAGACCATCCAGCACCCAAAAARGAGAATGTCCTTGGAAAGGAACCTTTAGGGGGACCCAGATCCTGACCTCAGGGCACAGCAGTATGTGCCTCAGCTACTCCAGTGAGAAATGATGTCCTGTAACTTTGGGGCAGAACGTGTCTCATAAACTGAAAACCTCCCCCTTCTCCTTACAAAGTATCTCAGAAATATGGACCCCCCTTCCCATCCCTAGTGTGGTTGCATTGCAACAAATGCCAGTGATTTTTGCAGCATTTCAGCCTGAATGAATCTTGGAAACAAAGCAGGGCTGATGAATATGCYTCTTCCAGAGACATCCAGGGCCCAGCTCCAAGTCCATAGAAGTTTTKGTAGACACTGAATAAATAGCTACACGTATGACTCTCCCCCTCACTCTSCCTCTCTTCTCACACATCTGTGTTTCAGAGCTGACCTCTCAATCCRTGGAAATCTGTCTGGCATGAAGCAGCTGCTGTGCATCGTGGGAGAGACAAC